TTTTGAATTCATGCTCAAAAATTGTGACAAATTAAAAAATGGTAAATAAATATTATATATAAAATAATAAATCTTTTACATATATTATTTATTATAAAATTTCATTTATAATATTTTTCTGAATTTTCGATTTCTTTTATATTATTACAGATGCATTTTGCTCCTAAAATGTAGGAACAGAGAATGGATAATAAACTAGCGCATTTAATAGCGCAAATAATGTGCAATAAATAACGTTTTGTATAAAGTAATGTGCAATATTACAAAATGTACAATATTGCAATAGTACAAAATGAAATTTTATAATAAATAATATATGTAAAAGTTTTATTATTTTATATACAATATTTATTTATTATCATGTTTTAATTTGTCACAATTTTTGAGCATGAATTCAAAATTTAGAAAATAATGCGTTTAAAAAACTGGAGGGAATGACTAAAATATGGCGGACCAGTCACAAGTGATACTCATATGGCGTCACTCTGATTGTAGGCTCTCTACGAGCAGACTAGCCGCTTGTTCTCAAACGCGCCTATTATCACGACATAAAAAAAAATAACAACTTACCCCGTCAGAAAAACTGAGATTGTCGTTCGATTTAGCTGGGCATGATAGTTTTTTCTCGATTTTATGTGTATTAATATATTTGCAACATGTGATCGTTTTTTTTACATCATGTATTTAGATGTAAGTATAAATTAGCATTTGAGGATTTCATTTTCATTTAATTAAAAAATAAAAATATTACTGTTATATAAATTTATATTTGTTCATAATAAAAAATTTATAATTACCAATCAAGACTCCTATGCTTCCAATTATATATTCGCTTAAATAAGAATTAAAAATTATTAAAAGATCAAATATTAGGGACTGAGAATGAATATTTAAAAATTTTTACCTTAAAACGATAGAAGCTATATAAAAATCGATGAAACAGCGGTCACAGATATCCATAATGTGTATGTCATTATTCTGTCATTGATGGATGTACATTGGATAGTAAAAAGAAGTATATAATATAGCTCCATACGGCCAAGACATATAGGCAAGAGAAATATGGTCTAGGTTGTCCAAGAGGCTATTCAAATTAGCCGAAATAGTAGAAGAACGAGCCGAAGATAAATGATGCTAGTGCAAATTGTAGCGTTTTCGTCATAATTTTCGGATCATTGGCTAGTAATTTGAATTAATTCTTGCCGCATGAGACACTCAAGTGTTTTAATAGGTTTTATAAGAATTTCGGAAATAGTTTTTGCCTTTAGAAATTTTATGAGAATTATTCTGTAAAGTGCTTATATTAAATTATATGCATATTAATTAACAAGTACTGAACGGCAGAATAAACACAGATGATCTAGATTAGATATGCTTTATTCTCGTGAGATTTTTATTTATACGTATGTATTATTACAGAGCAAACGTAACAATCTTTATGTTATTTTTATAATAGTTTTCAAGATATTTGATGGATGCATTTTGTTTACGATGCTCTTAATGACTTGAGTTGAAGCTAATAACTTCGATTAAGTGTTTTATGTATGTATTAGCTAGGTATATAGAGAGGATAGTTAATGTTCATAATATAATGATTTTCGTAAATTGAAGGTACGTAAAGTTTTTATAATAATAATAATAGAATCTGTTAAAAATTATTCAACAATTAAAAATACGCGGTAAGTATCGACAAAAGGGAACCCAGTTTTGATGATTTTGTCTTTGACATATGTTGTCATGATTCTAAGTGACTTTGAAAAGATTTTAGTCGTCCCTCGTTATCCATTAAAAAGTTAATAATAAAAACGTATCTTTTGAACACAATTCTGCTCCAATAAAACAAATTCTTTGCTTTAAAAACGCAAATTATTTTTTAATATAATTATTGTGTTTTTAAATAAGGAAATTCTTGTTTTAAAGCAGAAAATTTATGTTTTTAAAGAGACTTTTCACGCAAAGCGGAGTCCATCCCAACTCCATGTCTACAGGCAAAACCAGATCGATGACTGTAATGTTTCACATATGGGTTTTCAAATATACACACTTCGTTATTCATAATATACCTTCTAGGCCAATATCATCTGTTCCTACATATTATAATATTTTAATTTACTCTATCTCATAACTAAAACCAATACCGTCCCTACGTAATTGTTATTTGAGTTATTATTGAGGATATTCATACTGATATGTACCTTCAATTTACTATCACAAGAATTCGAATTTCATTGAATTCAACGTGACAGACATAATGCTGTATCATCTTGTCCTGAGTTTGTCGAAATTGGTTGCTGCAACGTTTTCGGCAATATATTAGCAAATACACTGCATTTGACTGTCCGGTATTATTTATTAGAAACATTTTTCGTAATTAAAGTAGAACAAATCACAATAATATCGAAAAAACATTGAACTGAATTGAACAAAAAAATGACTTTTAATAAACATTTTGGAACCATTTTAACATCATGATGATTTTTGTTCTGTTTAAATATGTTTATGTCAATTTATTGCACATATGACAGATTTTTAGAAACATTTCTATTAAAACATTTCATATGATATATTGCAGAATTCTTTCAGAATTGTTGCACATAATGAGACGTGAAAGATAGAAATATTTCTGAAGCTTTCCGCAATAATCGGCTGTATGGGTTTTGAGTACAAATATAGCTGTAAAGACGTCCTATGATGTTATTATTTCGTATTCTACCTGGAAAATAATTTTATTTATTTAATGACTTTTTCATGGATTTTTCTAGCTATTCCTTTCAATAAACGTATAACGTCATTATCGTCCATTTGCATTGATTGCCATTGTGAACATTGGACATTTAATAAATAGTGATCGTATAATTGTGACTTGTGATAAATTAAAATTTTACATAAATTTTGTGATTTACATGTCCTTTCTTATCATCATACTGTTTTGTCATTAAGAGTCCTGTATGTTAGTTAAATTTATAAATTAATATTACGTTTACTTAATATTTCCAATGAGAAATATCTTAAATTTAAAAAATCTATATTTAAAAATAAATATTAGTACATTTATTGATATATTATTATCAATTGTTATAAGATCAAAAATAAAAATTCCAGCGCTGCAAATCTGCAGTGTACTTTATTAACAGTTCTCTAATTTCACGTAATTGCAAATCTGTAATAAATGAACCAATGCACGTTATTGATAACAGAACAAACAAGAAAGAAATTTCCATAGTAAATTCCATCAATAAAAAGAATTATAAACGTATATCATCCAAATATTCGATAACAAAATATTGGCAACAATTGCAATCAAACGACACCATTGTAAATTTAATGATTATAATATATTTTATATATCGCATATTGTGTATGTACACTGCGTATTTTTTGTAAATAAAACGAACAAGAACGTGAATTATCGCGTTGCAACAAACGCAAGTATTAAATAGAAGAAATTGGAAAAGGAATTAATTTATTAATAATACATAACCATAAAATGATTTATATAAGTTTATGAAATCGAAAATAACTGATATGATAAATTAAAATAAGATATTTGAAAAAATAATGTTCACAGTTTTATCAACATTGTACCATTATTATTTAAATATCACTTATTAAATGGATATTAAACTTATTTATGGATGACAAGATTACTTCCTTTATAATTTTAAGGTAACAATAAAATTTTGTTTGTAATCGTCCACGTCAATAATATGAAGATCTGTAGCCCTAATGTACTGCGAATCGTCAATTATTAATTTCTTGAAAGATACCCTATGATGAGACTCAAAAATCTGTGCATCTGCAATTAATTTTTAAAATTTTAATTGTCTTAGCAATTTCAATTTAATGTGATAAGAAAGAAATGTAAGGTAAGAATATTATAATACAAAAATATATAATTAGATTATGGCCAAAGTTCGATCAGAAAAGTTATTTGCTTACTGACTGCAACTTTCTTTGATGTTCCTACCAAATGTGTGCTCAATTTTCTGAAACTACTTCCATTCAGTGTGTGCTTTCTGAAAAATTCTCTCAGCTTATTGATATTTATGTTGTCTATTGCAAGCGCTTCCTTTTCATATCTATCAAACATGTATTGCTGTTTCGTGATCTCACTCCAGTTTCTGTTAACTCTGTTTTTCAGAATCTCGGTATCGTCATGTTGCTTTGAAGTTCTCAGCCCTTCTTTGACATCATCTAATTTCTTTTCTGAGAATTGTTCCAACACAATTTGAAATGAATTCAGAAATTCCTCGATCCATTGATCAACGTATTCGGTTGTGCATTCATCTGCCTGAGTGTAAACAGTTATAGAATATCCTAACATTCCGTTGATATCTCTAAAATCGCACGAAACATAACTAAATTTTTCTTGGATTCGTAGATTCATTAATGATTCTTTCATTATCATCTAAAAATATAACAGATGAACGAATATCAAATAAAATCAATCGAAAACGTTATTCACATTTTATTTACTATTAAAAATGAATATAAATTAAAGATTTCATGTATGTAAATATATTAAATACTAACGAGCATCAACTGGATTAATACCGATGATTCAATCGTAGTACCGACTTGATAATAATTTGTCACTATCGAATTTACATCATTTCGGTTCATATTTTTCAACTTGAAATAAGATGTGCGTAGGGATATATAATTGATTTCAGTAGTCAGTAGCACTTCCTGTTCCCTCAAGTAAGAACACTTAATTTTTTTGATAAATCGTTGTATAATATTCATCGTAAAGTCTTTCGTTACATTGCCTTGCACAAGGCATTGGAAGTACAGATTATTGGTAAAGGATTTTACAAAATCTTGGAAGTCTTCCAATGAATATCTGTGTAGAGCATTGTATTTGTGAACGTATGTACAGTTGCCGCTCTTCAATATCCATAATTCGATATCCCTGCGAAAAAAATGAGCTATATATATATATTATTAATTGTAATAAAAAATAATAAAAAATGTAACAAAATAACATAATTCAATTTATAAAATTAATTGTTATGATTGATGTTCATCACTAATTGTTTTTTTCTAGTTTTATTTAAGTACTTTATAATTATTGCAATTATGCTTGAGAATAAATAGTTTATACTTGATGAATTTCTCCGGTTTTATAAATTTGTTGTAATATGCTTTGGCTTGTTGCATTTTAATAATTTTAAACAAGTCCTTTGAAAGGACAGGATTCACCATATAGTTTGCAATAACCATCAACCAGAGCTGTAATATAATTAAAATATTTATGTTTCTCTAAATTTTTATATACATGTGTGTGTGTGTGTGTGTGTAACTCCGCCAACACATGCTTAAAACGTATATACTTACTGGCAAATTTTCGTTAAACCCGCTTATTTGTATTGTAATACCTGTAACTTCTTCATTCACATCAATCTCATAATCAAATCCAGCTATTACAGCCGGGTATAATTCTTCGAGCAATAGATATTTTAGTACATTGCAGTACATTTGAAAGAGAACTGCACTGAAATGTTATTAATATAAATTAAATTTAGTAACAAATTAATTTATAAAAATCATAACATATAATAATTACACGTTAAAGTTTATAATAGGTATATATAAGATCGACAGACGTTATAATATTATTACAATGTAAATATTTTTACATGTCCAAGCTATTATTTACTTTTTTGTTGTTTTTTTTTTATTCTGAGAAGAATAGATATTAAGATTTATATGACACATCGGCCAATGAAACTTTGGGTGAAACCAAATCTCTGATAAATAATTTTGGTGTATTTTTATAGGATATTTTGAAGCTTCTGTTGGTACTGATATGATAGAGAAATTATTGGTAAGAAATTTATTACATGATGGTAAATCAAAATCAGGCAATGGTTCGATAGATTTCCAGCATTCGATATATTCATCTAATAACTTGCAATGTCGGTAATTAATTTTGAAATGCGGTTCAACTATATTTAATCCACCATTTTTATCGAAAATCATGATCTTCGCCGTCTCTGGCATCAAAAGATCCAAATATTTTTGTATAGCTTCTGGGTTATACTCGAAATAAATATGCTTTCCTGTTAAATAATCACACGGCTGATAGAAATGCATTCTCTTACATAAATCAAACACATCATCATGCTTACTAAAAAATCTAAAAAAGCCTTCAAGTATAAATGGCATGTTATGTATTTTAATAGTGTATTTTTCTCTTCTACATATCTACTTATTCCTAAATTGATTTACCTAAAATTATTATTTCCAATTTTATAAAGCTCCTTATAAATACTTTCTTGTGGACCCATCCTTTTTATTAATTTTAGAAAGGAAAATATTGCACATAGAATGTCTGTCACATTGCTTAATCCTTTATCGGTAAGTTCTATTATAATCTCAAATAAAACGTACATAGAATTGTATCCGAAATCATTATCGTTATCACAGTTACCACAAAACACATCAAACACACCCCACATTTTTTTACGTAGATAACTAGTTAAAGAATTACTTCCTTTATGTTCAATAATCCATGAGATATATTTAATTGGTTTACTTCTGTACAAATTAAGTAGTGAAGGCAAAACCCACGTTACATGTAACTGTAAAAGACAAGTTTTATTTTTATATGCGTTTGTTCAGTACACATAGATTTTTTTTGAATTTGTATGTCCAAATTACATACTCGGGTGATATGTTCCATGGATTTAATCCGTTTACACATTTGTTTGGAAGCGTCAAATGATTTGCCGTCTTTAAATTCGGTAAAGTCATCGGAAGGCAGCCAATTACTTGATATACTATTAAAGCAAGTTTGGACATACATTTCCAATGTATCTAGCGATAATCTCGCCTATAAACAGATGTACGTGTCATGTTATAAATTAACCATATTTAATAAGAAATCAATTCTTCATTGCAATTTTAACACATTATAATTGCCTGTATAACGAGCTTCATTCTGTGAGCGCTGTAATGGCGCTCTCTGAATTTGTGCAGCTCTTCGTACAACTTGTCATCATCTATATCATTGTTTAAAGCTAATGACTTACTCCAAAGAAACTTACTGGCTGGATGACCACTTTTAGCAATAAAAGACAATAATCGTTCCTTTTTATTTTTTTCACTGTTAGATGAATCCAACTGAAACTCTATGTGAACATGGAGCATTAAAAAACCGCAAGTTTTAGCAACATCATTATCATAATGATTTACCCCTTTGTATGATCTCTCGCTCCCTCGTGATGGCATCTTTCTTTATCCAACATTTATCGAAAAGTATACCAAAAGGAATGAGAGCTGATAATAACTGTGTCTCTGGGATATCAAAGTAAAATCTTGTATACTCGCAATCTGTTGCGCCATAAGTAGTGCCACCATGGAGACTGATAAATCCTTTAAAATCTTCCTATAAAATACAATGATATTGAAAAATTTTCCTATAAATACAATGATATTTAAACATTTAATTGTACAAAAAATGTATTTCATAACAAATTCGCTTATCGTAATACATTTGTATATTTTTCGGATCCTATAAAAACCATGCGCTGAAGGAAATGTGCCAGGCCTGAAACTTCCGATGGATCGCTAAAACTGCCTACTCCCACACATAAGCCACAAGATGCCTGAGTTTGAAAAAAAATATATATATATATATATCTATATACTTATTTTGCGTTGCATACTAGAATGTAAATTGATACATTAAGCACAAACAGTAGTGAGGTGACCCATGAACACATTTCGAAACGAATCCATGAACATTGATTTACAGATAATAAAGGAATTCGTGTTTTTTCAAACAAGGACTCCTGATAATGGGTGCGTTTCGAATTACGCATGAAACGCATGATGCGTCATTTGTCCTTATTGTTCACAAAATAATAAAGAATGATAAAATGATGCATTATGCGCTTCATAGATAATATGGAATGCATTCAGTATCAAGCATTACTGGAGAAATATGCTATTAGCGACACTTTATCCTTTCACGTCTGATGAACAATAAAGATGGATCGACACAATAGCACTAATGATGCACTTCTGAACGCAGTTTTGAAGAGAGAGATTATTTATTTTTAACAATTTTATAAGTCCATCTCCGATATTATTATTTCAATGAACTTTTAATAACAGATAATAAAAAATGATACGCTAGAAATATCCAAAAGTGCTAACTAAATTATCTTGTTTATACCTTCCATACGTCTCTTTTAACTCGTTTAGCTGAAGAACAACCTTCTTCACAATCTTTATATTTCATATCGTCATTATTCGCTTCTTCCAGATTAGATATTAACAATGCTGTTAAACCATTTCTTAGTCTAACGACTCTAAATTTGAAAGATAAAACGATTAACAATGAGAAATTACTGAGGATCATATAAAGAATCTTAATTCTTCTTTGTAAAAAATACATTGTAACATTTCTCTTAAAAGATTATCATCGCACTAAATAATATGATATACGCATATTTTAATTGAAATCGCTAAATCTCCACCCCAGTCTCACCTGTATTCGGCTTTATCATACTCCGATTTGGTAGGCGAATCCAGTTTTGTAATATTATAATTATAGCCTTTGGTCGTAATCTCTCCCTTTGACATTATATCAACGTGCAAGAAACCACAAATTATATATACTATACGATCCGTTCGGAGAACTCAAAATAAGATTTCTATATGTTTCAATTTTATTGCCAGTAGACTGGGAATAGTTTAAATCATCACTCTAACCGACACTTTTTCATTCTATCTGTTATATATTGTCGAACGAACGTCAATATAAGGTCAATATCAGTGGCTCGTGTATATACATACATTGTATACATACCATACATTGCAGAGTGGAAATAGAAATAATAAGTAAAGTCGTACGTATCCAATATCCAAAAAATCAGAATTTTGTATTTAGCAATGTACACACGAATACATTTCTATCTATTTCAATTCCAAAAGCTTTTATTTTTAATATGTACTTGGTATGTTATTCAGAGAGTAATTAAAAATAACTTAAAATCAAATTTCGTTCTGTACAATTCACTTAATCTAATATAATATCGCTTCCATATAATAAATATATAATAAAGTAAATATATAATAGAAAATTTGATAAACGTACTGTGCCCAGGAAAATTAGATTTTTTGGTGGCAATATTGCTATAAAAGATATATTCGCGGGAATTTGTACGTATTATACGTCATATTAAAAATAATTACCGCCAGTGGACTTGGAAAATTTTTAGCTTCAAAAATTGATAAAAAATGCGGTTTTTTCTATCGTTAGACTAAGAAATGGTTTAACAGCTTTGTTAATATCTAATCTGGAAGAAGCGAATAATGACGATATGAAATATAAAGATTGTGAAGAAGGTTGTTCTTCAGCTAAACGAGTTAAAAGAGACGTATGGAAGGTATAAAAATATCTTAGAAAGTATTCATTTTATCGAAGTGAAGGTCATTGTCAAAAAAAAGTTGATAAAAGTAAGAACAATTTCGTTTAATTTAAGATTGTATAATCGATATTTTCCGTGATAGAATTTTTTAAAGAATGTTATATTTTGGACATTTCGACAACTGGAATTTTTTTCGTCTTTATCTCAGATTTGTCAACTTTTATATACGAAATAACGCTTATGAAGGTGGAAGATTATTAATTTTTTTGCAAATTTGTTTACGTTTGCAAGTCAATTTAACTCGTAATATTACTGTAGTAATAAAGTTAGCGTTTCAAGAGCGAAAAATCATTTTGGCGCGCGTTTCTGGGGACTACATACGTAGTATATAAATTCGCACAAGAATCATACATGCATTAAGATCCAGCTATTGTTTAAAGTTTTTTTTTAACATACGATCAATAGTTCTCAAGATATGATGTTTCAAAAATGTTATAGGACCTTCAATTTACATTTAAATATAGATTTATTTATCAATTTAGGTATATAATCGAACTAAAAAGAAGAATAATACTGCTTTTTCTCAAGGTTACGTATATTTATATATTTCGATCCTAGTTGCGTATCACTCTTCAAAATTTATTTTTAGAAAAATAGTTTCGTGAAAAATTGTCGTTTTTCAACAATTTAGTTATCTTGAAAATAATGTCCAAATGATATCTTATAATAATCATTTATTACAGACATTTACTAGGAGAATTCTTTAAGATATCTCATTTCAGAGATTCTTGAGATTTTTATCTTTAAGTTATGCTAAATGATATCAATTTGTTTTTTCATGGAAGATATCATTATGTTGTATAATATTCAATGCTCCGCTATATCTGATTCAGAAACTAGATATAATTATGATATTTTTTAATGAGAAATCCATTTGTTGTTATTTTTGAAGATATAAAAATAACATTTTCAAGAAGCATACTCATAACTTGACCTATAAAATTTAAGACAGCACAAAATATTAAAGATAAATATTATAACGAAAAGATGTTTACAAGATGACGAAAGTATGATCGTTTTGTCTCTTCAGCAAAATGAAAGATATCTATAAGATGTCTTTTAATTTTATTGAAAAGGCATCTTAAAAAAAAAAACATCTTTTCGTCATCTTTTTCTGGTTGTCTTTTCGGTAAAGCGAAAAGTCGACTAAAAAATATTTTTCCGTATTACCGAAAAGACAATGTGGAAAAAATATTCTCTAAGTTATCAGATTCAGAAATGAGTTCAGAATGTCTCTTTTTTAGAAACCTTTTTGACATATATTATTATTTGGGGAGGAATCATTCAGGACACTCTCGTACTACAGTACATCTAAAAGACACTCAAATCGATAAAGTGTAACATAAACTTCTTATTTGTTTTAATAAATATGTAATCGGAAAATGAACAAAAGCATTGATCATTTTGAACGCTGCTTTAACTTGGATCTTCCATTGGTATGTTAAAGAATTGTAGTACGCGACATTTGATTAATTCAACTATTACGCATTGATGAGTAAAAACAAAATTAATTTATTAATTTATTAATATTAAAATAATGAGAATGATTAATATTAAAATAATGTCTTTCTTTGATTTTTTTGTATATTAAAGTTGAGTACTGAAGTACTGCAGATATGTTACCCGAATATATTACTGCGGTTGTCGATAATATTGTGACTACGTAGTTGATGTTTTATGCACATAGAGGCGCTAACAGTTCCATCCAAACAGACCAACAACTGTTGTAACACGTCTATTTTTTTATCTTTCGCATTATAAATATTATAGACCGTTATCTTTTATTATGTTCCAAAAGAATTATCGCGCGTGCTTTTCTGTTCCTGACGCGGTCTGAGTGTGGCAAGTTTTATGATCGTCATTTTGATAGTTGTTTCAAACAAATAAACATATATATATTTGCGAATGATTCTTTTATCATAGAAGTCGCTTATAAGAATTCGATACGCAAAATGGTGACTAGTTATATTTTGCGAATTATGGTACAGTTTGAAGCATCTGATTTGTCTGAAACGATCGTTTCGAAAGTGTTTCTTTAACGAAAAAGCAGTGCTCCTTTGGAATTTTCTGGGAATGAGAGTAACGTGTCAGTGGGAGAGATGTCATTATTACTGATCATTACTTGATTACTGATCACAATTCATTGACAAGGCATTTCTTATGTAAACATGGTGAGGATATATATTAGGAAATCTCAATATTTCTATTGCTTTAATAACTTATATTGTAATACTAGAGTATCTCTTAATAACTGCAATCATTGTATGGTTTAAAATTAAATGCGGTAGTAATTGTATTTGCTAGAATAAAATAATCGAAATTGCTATAGAGAATAGAATAAAACAACATCTTATATTGTCTAGGTAATTCTGTAATTACTTGGTGAAAAAATATTTTTTTATTGATCAGATCTTTACATTTCATCCTGCTTGTATTGTCTTAAATTATTTTATTACTTATTCTATTCAAATAAAGTAATATTAATTGCTTTCCATTTTTACAAAAGTGATATTTATGTTAGTGATATTTAATTCTCATTGTGAATACGGGGGTTATTTGTGTGTGTGTCCAAGCAATTTTTAAAATTATGAATAGTTTGAAAATAATTGAGTGCAGACACGCTGCTCTGCTTCTAAAAAAAGGAGAATGTGAAGAATGTGGAGTGGAAGATTTTCTCGCTGAGGATATTCAAAATCGAGCGCCGACACAAATGACTTCCGTATATACTTAATGCATATTTGTCGTACAAATAAAAAAATGATTTTTTTCGTGTTTCTTGACTATTTTTATAAGTAAAACACATGTATAACGAAAAAATTTTTATTTACAGTGTTATCTTAGAATAAAAATGGCAAATCGCTCTGCAGAAGAGATGTTACAATTTCTTTGTTCTCTTACAACGTCATTCCGTATGTATTTTTTTATTTACGAAAGTGTATGAGACTACAGATTTTAAATAAAAAATGAATTTTTTAAAGTTAAATGTCAATTTTTCATAAGAACGCTTATTTTTATAAATTTCGAAATTGTAAAATTTTATATTCTGAACTTAAACATTTTAATGTAAAAAATTTGACATATATTTCTTTCATTAAAATATAAACTTTGAATTTTATATTCCTTTTCTAATTATTCTAATTATATACAGATTTCATTGATTTAATCAAAAGTTACAAATTTTTGAATGTATCACTACCATACTCACATATTTGTTTAAATATTTTATTTTTGTAAATATGTAAACTTTTGTATTTACATATTTACAAAAATAAAATATTTAAACAAATAGATTTGTTGAATTATGTATAAATCCTTCATTTAGAACAAATCAAAAAACTACATGAATTTTTAAATATTTTTTGAACTACTTAATCCATTAAAAAAATACCGGACATGAATGACTTTCGTATACACTTAATGGATACTAAAAAAACATATACATGGTGAGAGTTAAATTATATAAGTATTTTGTACTCGGATAATAATGTCACTACTTCCTTACTTTGATGACAAAGTTATCACATAATAATACAGATTTATAATCACTTTTAATATGAGTTAAAAGTAATAAGATTCCGTAAAGCACACTCTCGAGATTATAGATAAAAACTCAGTTGGATCTCATTTGTCAGAATGAACAAAAATGTGTGTTTATTTAAGTTATGACGTTATAATTGAAAATCATGTGAGTTTTTATGTAAATGCAATTATTATGAAAGCAATTATTATGATATTATTATATTAATTAAGTACATGCTTTCCAAAATTTTTTTGAAAGATACTGAATCCAAGGGTAACAAAAAAATTATAAACACAAATGTTCTTTTTTTCATTTATTTCTATACTTTTTCACGTCTTGCAATCGATTTAGCTTATTTACATAGTGATCCGGATGACAACAACGTAATTTTATGAAACAAATAATTTGCAGGAGGATGGTGTGTGTTGTCTTGCGATTGCTTCTTTCTTTCTGTCAATGATTGACTTTCTGCAGCCGACTTCCCGCGACGGATGTGCTGCAGCTTTCGTCGTGAGTGCAACGCTTGCATGCAAACGCTTCTATTTCCTGTAGCCTAACTTGCGTAGGGCCTTCAAGTCCACGTCACCGTAATAGTCTTGGCTGAGAAATGTATGAAAATATTCCATGTGACTTGATGCATTAACGTATGATTATCTTAAGATT